AGCACTGGGGGTCAGTGGAAAGCCAGGTGTGTGGTGCACACTTGTGATCCAGCACTGGGGGTCGGTGGGAAGTGGAGCCCTGGAGACTCCTAGCCAGCAGCACCTAGTCTAGTCATCAAGCCCCCAGGTCCAGTGAGTTACTGTCATAGTCACTATTCTCTTGCCGTGAAGAGACACCATAACCAAGGCAACTCTTATGAAAGAAAGCATATAATTGGAGACTTGTTGACTAGGATTATTCTATGATCATCTTTGTGGGAAGCAGATGGGCATGGAGCTGGAGCAATAGCTGAGAGCTTTACATCCTGATCCCAGGCAGAGAGAGAGAGAGAGAGAGAGAGAGAGAGAGACTGGGCCTGCCGTGGGTTTTTGAAACCGCAAAGCCCCACTCCTAGTGACACACCTCCTCCAACAAGGCTACACCTTCTAATCCTTTCCAAACAGTTCATTGACTGGGAACCAAGCATTCAAACATATGAGCCATTGTGAATATTCTCATTCAAACCACCACACAGACCATGTCTCAAAATCCAAAGTGCGTGGCTCCTGAGCAATGACACCAAAGGGTAACCGCTGACCTCCAAGTGCACATAGTGCCCCCCACATGCACCTGAAAACATAGGAATATGCATATAGTGCAAAAGCCTTCTTCTCGGGGCTTGGCAGCACACACCTGTAATTCCAACACACAGGAAGCTGAGGAAGCAGGATTTTGGATTTGAGTCTAGCCTGGTCTGTATAGTAAGACTCTGTCTCAAAACAACAGTAAAAATCTAACATATCCGTATTTAAATGAAACTGTATGTTCCATGGTAGCGCTCAGTGATAGAGCTAAGCATGTTTGAGACATGGGATCAAGTTCCAGCACTACACACACACACACACACACACCGCACATAAAACAAGCGTGGTGGCATACGCCTCTAATCTCAGTATGTGGGATGTGGAGGCAGGAGGATCAGGAGTTCAAGGTCCTCCTCAGTTACATAGTAAGTTTGAGGTCACCCTGGGCTACATGAGACTCTGTCTCACATACACACCAACATGCAAAGATAAAAAAGTAAAACAAGATAAACTAAATTTAAAAACCATATTTTAAAGGGACTGGGGGTTTCTAGAAATGAAGAGTGTGAGTGTTAGAGTCACGATCAAACGTCAGGAAGCAGACCGGGAATGGAGGATTCAGAGAAAGGAAAAGCAAGGTGAGAAGCCGCCCAGCAGCACAGAGCAGGCATAGAGCAGGGCAGGCTAAGCAAATGGCAGGCATGGTGTCCGGGCCTGGCTCCAAGCACTGGCCACACCTGCATTTGCTGGAACAGAGGAATTTTAACCTAAGAAATTATTAAATTTAAAGTTAGCAACCGCTGGGAAGAGTGAGGCTCAGTGGGTAGACACACTCACTGCTAAGCTTGTTGACTCCTGAACTCTTTCAAATTGTCACCCCTCATCCTCTCTCTCTGTGTTTGTGTTTCTCTCTCTCTCTCTCTCTCTCTAGCAGAAGGGAGATGCCACTCACTTTATCCTGACCATGGTGTGATGTAATTTTATCCCGACACCAGTGTGAAGGGAAGGTGAGGGTGTGTGATGGCTGGGTGTCCTAGACATGCATGCCTGTGTTGGGAACCACAGTGACATTATCAGGTAAAACCGGCATGTGTACCCCTGTCCCGGCAAGTTCTCAGGTGTGCGTGTTTGGGGGACGTGTCGGGACACTCCCAGCAGCAGTCTGTCCGGTATGAAACACCAGAGGAACCTTAGTGCTTGTTGTCAGGGTAAGGAGTGAACAAATCAGTGTGTTGCACACAGACGTCTGTGCAGTGCCTGTGTGACTTGTGGTCACAAGTGTCAATGGGATGGATCTTGGAAATAGAAATTTCACTAACAAGAAAGCGAGTCTCAGAGATCCCATGCTCCATAATTTCAATTAAGTAACTGCCAAAAGCATGCAGAATAAATCCTATCATTTAATATTAGGTACGTTCATGGATTTTTCTTAAAGCCAGAGAATACGGAACATATAAAGGAAAGGAAGGGATGGGCTTAGCCACCTGGGGAGTTTTGAAGAGACTGGAAAGTTTACATCCTTTTTCTTTTTTCTTTTTTTTTTTATTTTTTCGGTTTTTCAAGACAGGGCTTTCTGTGTAACTGTAGACCAGGCTGGTCACAAACTCACAGAGATCTGCCTACCTATGCCTCCTGAGTGCTGGGATTAAAGGCCTGCGCCACCACCGCCTGGCTGAATTTGTTTTAATAGTTATTCTTCGGCAGATCTCACAGACTGGCAGCCAGGCCGGTCTCCATCACATGCCCCTCTTGCCTCAGCCTCTGGAGCTCTGAGATCTCTACATGAGGCAGCCTCTTGGTTTGAAACTGTGTTTCTTTAGCTGGCAGGCAAGCACATGGATATTCTTTTTTTGTTATCCTTTGTATTTTATACATGACATGAGGTAGCGTTGTGTGAATTAACTGACCACAGTGTCATTTTCTTATTGATAGTCTTTGATAAGCTCACAATTATTTTATATGGTTTCTAGTACTAAGGGAAATATTGGGGCGATTTCTGTAATTTATTTAGCCTATTTTAAATTAGGGAGGAATTTTGTTTTGCTTTGTCAAAGTTTTCTGGATAGGAGAGGGAAGAGCTCATGTTTTCTTCCTCCATTAGGTTCTTGTTACTTTCCCTGATTAAGTATTAGTGTGGCCCAAATATAGTCAATAATTTTATAACCTACTGCTCCCATGACCTTTGTGAGTGGAAACTTCCTTTGTCTTTAAGCGGAGACACTGCCTGGCATGCCGAGACTTCCTGACTTCTTCTAATCACCCCCTGGCTCCTTTGAGTCTTCTTAAATGTTTTACACTTATTTATTCTCTCTCTCTCTCTCTCTCTCTCTCTCTCTCTCTCTCTCTCTCTCT